TGGTATGAGCCTGGCGCCTCAGAGTCGTCTGGATTGAAGATTGAGTGTTGGCATCAAGTGAGCTCAAGTGACGTAGAGTACAAGAGTCAGTTTCGTGGGGTTCGATGTGAAGAAGTATGACACAAGAAGCGGTAGAAGTGAGAGGGCAGTGCAACAAGGCCAGTTGGCATGACATTTTGATTTGAATTCAAGTGAATTTGATGCGACTGAAGCTGTGAGTTGACCATCAGACACCACCTTATTAGAAAACGATGTTTCTGCTGTAGCCCATCGGCAAGGTCTAGGGCAAATCTACGAATCATTCTGCAGTAGATGCCGTGGGTGGCTCTTTCAGAACCCTTTGCAGATCATGACGGACTCGAGCCGAGACGACGCTGACAGACGAAGTTCGCAGACGTGCGGACCTGAGGTATCACAAGCATGGCTTGGGCCTCCACTTTGTCTTCCTGCTGATGTGCCCCATGTCAAGTGAGACAGAGCGATGAAAACAATGCGCCGAAAGTGTCTCACGAATGGCGTTGGCAGATGCCTGGGAGGAGCGACAGTCCAAGCCGTGGTCATGTAGACTCTTGAGGTACATAACCTCCCCCATTTGAATGCACTGACTTGCGGACTGTCTCTCCCGCACCCACAGCAATCCCCCATTTGAATTGGACATCCTCTTCATATGGGGGATTTATTAGTCAAGAGTCTGCATAAATAAACCTGAGAAGTATCACCTTCTCAGTTTGAGTGATTTGTTGCACCTCACTTTGGGCAGCAACTGAATGACCCGGGGACCTGTTCCAGTTCTTTAGCCTTTCGGTTCGGCTGCACCTTGTGAAGTAACTTGTGGTAAATTCTGATGGTTGTCACTTTCCCGGTGTTTCTTTCACCCAACCCCAACAAAAACGTCGTGAACTTTTGACCGCTCGTCCCACCGCATGCCTGGCATGAGTCGGTCGAATCCATCGGCTAGATCTGCAAGGTGCACCTGCTTCAGCTGTTTGGGATTGGAAACGATGGCAAATGGGTCTTGCAAGGCGGTTGCTCCAGACATCTGCCAGGTATGTGAACCCTCAAGCGTGCTGCTTTTTCACCTCGAGGCCGCGAGAGGGATGCGGAGCTGGGGCGGGATTCATGCGGAGGGATGCGGAGGGTGTGGGTGGTGATGGCGTTCTATCGTTTTATGTATTAGTTCGGAGGGTGGAGGCGTTCCAACTTGGGCAGGGTCTCGGCCGATGCATCGATGGGGAGAACAGGAAACCTTCGGTTCGTTTCGGTTCGGTTCCATCGGTTCCACGTGTTCAGCAGTGAACACAGCAGAAGAGGGCATGACGCACAGGATTTGGCCGATTACAGCATAGTTTCCATAATGCCCCATGGGAGTGTGTTTGGCATCGAGCAGCGGTGAGTGCCATGGTTTTAGGCCAAAAACATCTTGAAAGTGATTTTCGCCTTGTGAACATCGTTTTGGGCATCGTTTCTACGATTGCTCGTCTCAAACTCATTTTCGGCTGGCCCAAATTGTTTCTGGCTCATGTTATTATTGGCCTCGGCGCTTTGAACAGCATATTTTTTCTGATTGACAGTGTGAGAGATTCGTGTGCAGAGGGTTGCTTGCAAACTCAACAATGCCTTCTTTCGCTGCAGCACTTGGCCACGGCTAAAAGCCCTTTAAGTTGGTGTAACACTCGTGAGTTTTGCAATGGCTGCCCCAAGCCCTTTGGCCAGTGTCCTGAAAGCCCTGCCCTTTTGCCACAAGCCCCCGCTCAGTTCGTTTCGGCTTCATAGAGGCCGGTTTTCAGTCCGGTTCGGTTCGTGCCGGTTCCATAGAAACTGCTACTTGCCCGGTTCGGTTCGCAGTTCGCGGTTCGGTTAATGAGAGAGAGAGAGAGAGTGTGTGCGTGTAGGCTATGCAAACTGCAGGGAATTGGCACTTCACGCCCGCACTTCGCTCCTGCTGGCTGTTCAAAGGCTCTTTGACATTGACCTCTTCAACATCCATTTTGGCACCCCCAGCAAGATGAACGAGGCGCTTCTTCGCGTTCGGCGAGCCTCACTTCGAGCGACCGAGAGACATCTCGATGGCAAGGACAGAACGGAACAGATCATCCACTTTTCCGAACAACGAAAATCTGAACCCAGCACGGGGGGGTCAAGCACCACCCCCAAAAGGTTTGTTTGATTTCCCCAAGACAGTCTAGGAGTCTAGGCATCTTTGACAAAGCCTTGCTTTTCACACGTGTGGCACTCCCCAAAACTCAACACCACACTGCTTCTCATCTCCTCCCACGAGTGGAACACCACCATCGCAAAGCCTTTGTTTTTGCCCAACACGGGAGGGTCGAGTCGTTAAAACAGCCCCCAAGGTGCTGTCCAACGTGGGTTGCCTCTCACTGCTCATAGACGTGCCATTGATGGTCCTGTTGGGTAGCCGAGACCGAAGACCATTGAAGATTTGACGGGAGAGGCTACGGGGAGACGGTCTTTTGAAGAAAGACCCCGCTACTGGAATGGGTCTAGAATGGGCAATCTGACTTCGGATTCAACTTTGATTCAACTCGGCAAAGAAAGATGTCGACTGTCAAGAAAGATGGCCATTCCATGCCATTCCAATGATTTGGAATCAAACAATAGCACCGATTTGAAGAGGTCCAGGTCCACTATCACTTTAAAGACGACCAGGGCCTCGGAATCTGGAGATTGTATGCGTCGATGAATGGCTTCACACACCGTTCTTCAGATGACACCAAGAGTCTGCAAATTTAAGGAGGCTTTCCACCCACAATCCTCAAGCCCACAGTTTGCAGGTTTGGTAATGCTTGGCAGAGGTCTTGTCCTTTATATAACCATCGCCATCCACTACTCTATGGCTGTTTGAGTTTGGGGATAGGCCCGGTTTCGCCCGATGTTAGGAAACACCACAAAAAAATACGTAAGCCATTTCTTTGGTGGAAGCCATGGTTCACGTCTGGAAAGCAAGCACGGGGGATAGATGTGGATAGATGATGCTGTTTGCTGCCATTTCTTGGGCCAAGCAACCATCAGTCTGTACAGCCAGTCTGCCACCCAGGAAGTCTGCTGTCTTCTTTTTGGACACGAATGGCCTGCAAGCACCCAAGGTGCGCTTTGCGGAACTCCGCACTGGCCGGCGTCAATGGATGTTGATGGATCAGGACTCGACCTGCCACACCCTGTTGAGCTTTCGCAAATTACATACATATTAGATATATATATATATACATACACCTATATACATATAGTACGTTTTCATCCATGTAATATTTGCAACCGTTGCAAGAACCTGTCCAAACTCGTCAATGCGAATAGATCATTTGGGATTTACCCATGGACGGTGATCCGCTTCGTAGCCACCGTATCCAGGTTCGAGGGAGTTGTCGGGACCTGGCAGGTAGTGTCCTTCCACTTCTTCAGCATGTCAGTCGGTCCAATTCAATCAGATGACCACAAAACCGCTGGTAGCTTCAGCATCTTTGTGGAACAAACCCACCCCATGAGAAGAGGACGCATGGTGCTTCTTTACCCGAGTAGGAGATCATCTGATCACCCACTCTGGAGGCTGAAAAATCGACCACTGGCACTACCAGTGGCTCCATCCATGTACGCGAAATTTGTTTTGGTTCGTGTGGCCCCACCCTCACCCGGCGCGGAGGTCACACGGGTCTCCATGGGGGTCACCGCCATCCATCTGACGTTGGCGGGGAAGCACGGAGTTCACTCCGAACTGACCCCCTGTCGACCCAAACATCGCGTGATCGCATGACGTCACCCAAACAGACCCAAACATACCATCGGCCGATTTTCGGGGCAGAAAGACCAACAGCATCGCCCCTGCCGGTGGAATTCATGGAGGACCATGGCGAAGTTCTTGTATGGTTCAATAGTTCATCAAGAGTATAGCCCCCTCCTTGTTTTCCATGAACCAAGAGGTTCTTACTTCTTACGAGAACAGCTTGGTCCACGGAAGACCCACCTTGGACTTCTAGGACTGCAGATCCAGGCTCTTTCAAGTTGGATGTGTTGAAGCCAAATGAGGTGAACCCTTTTCGAAGCAATTTGTCATCTCTACTTTTCACCATTTTTTTGAGCTGTGACCTGAAAGGGCAGGGAATGGTGGCGCTGGATCCGTTGGGCTATCGTTGGGGTCTCCCCTGAGTCGTTTGGAGAGTAGCCCTTCTTTCCGCAAGTCGTTTTTGGCCTACAAGAATAGCTACTAGGGGCTCCTGGCATCGCTACTGGGAGCAAGGACGCTACTAGGGGCTCCTGGCCGTACTACTAGGAGCAAGAAATGGGGCTAGCTCTCTCTCTCTCTATCTCTTTCTGCTGTTGCCATGACGCAGTTCCAACTGGGTCGCAGGCACACGAACAAGGACCGGTGACCAAACATGAACAGATGCGGTCCAGAGGCACCTGAGGTCTCCCGACACAGTATCAGATATTTCACCTGATTCTGGCATGTGTATTGCTACGTAAGGGAATATCATTTTGTAGTTGGTACGTTTAACATTAATTAACTATTGCAATTGTTTGGCTGTTGGAACCCGGCAACAGAGGAAACGGGCATGGAAGGTATGCGCAGCTATTTTGCAATTGTTTTGATCGGAGAATCTGCAGAGCTTCTTGCCCAGAGCCACCTCACAGCTTTGCCCAACAAGATGCAAGAGGCAGAGTTCATGTGATCTTAGATCCAAGTCCCAGGCCGACGGAAGGCATACCTGCAGAGAGTTCGAAGATACCTGGCCCGTGAATCGTACCACGTGGTGCTTCAATGCATGCGATGAACTTTCTGTCTTCCAGGGAACAACGCGTCGCACGTAAGTGCGGCGAACTACTTTACATTTGCAAGAATAGCTGGCTTGCGATTTTTCCCAGATCTTTACTGTAGATAACATTAGTTTTTTACATCCCCTTGTTTTCAGTGATGCTTCCTTCGTTCTCGATTTGAAGCATCTTACACTGCAGCTTCTCCATGCGTAGTTTTGGCCAGGGTGGCATCCCTAGAGGTCCCCGGTGAAAACAGCGTCACGATCGGTGCGACTTGGTAGTGATGGATCCATGGTGCCCGACGCCCGGGATGTGGAGCTGGGGCACGAGGAGCACTTGGAAGAGTCCCTTGGACCAGTATGCTTCATGTCCCACCTGAGAAAGACTGACGAAGGCCCAATTCTCCTCTTGTCAGAATGTTACGTGACTAGGGCCATCTCAGGACTCAACCACATACAATATTCCCACAACCCCAAACAAAACTACGGTCTTGACACGACAAGCTCGTTGGATCTTAATTGCTGCTAGAGTAGATCTTTCACCCAGAGGGAGTGAGCAAGAGGGAAGGAGGAAGGCAAGATCTCAATCTCTCTTTTTGGCAGCTGCTTCGCTCAAGATGTTGAAGACCCCACCAAGAAGACCTTGCAGAGGCGTCTCCTCACCAGAGAGTGTGGGCGACTCAGCTTCAGTCCAGACAATTGTGAGAGGACTTGCACAGATCACAATTTTGCTCAACCCGCAGTACAAGCCCACCAGGAGGATTGAGGTTCACTCCGCTAAAGGAGTCTTCTCTTCGTCCATGTGGCTGCGTGCAGCTTCTGGTTTTGGGAGAATCAGGGCCATGGAAAGCCAAAAGGTAGAAAAAGAGCCCCATGAAGGAGTCAGGTATCGAACGCCAAGGAAACAAGACCTCCGAGCAGTGGAGGGCTTGGCCGCAGGCCATGAAAGACTATGAGAAGGCACAAGGGCAGAGCCAATGAGCCCAGACACTTTCACATGTTGTTTTTCGCAAAGGGCTTGAGCAGACTTTCTTCAGAATCTCCTTTTGCGTGCCACTCCAGTGGAGAAGATTGGGTTTGCCGACCTGACCACCGCGCTTCCTGGCCAACAGGTGAAGATTCCGCAAAGAATGAGCTCGAAGGTCCTTGGCTCAATCCAAGAAGCTGTTGTTTGGGACTTGGAACTGCGAAAGTGAGAGCTCATCTCTCAAGGCTTGTTCTCTCACTTCTTGCGAGTTGATGGCTGCCAGATAATGGGAGAAGCGCTGCGCTACTGGTTTGTGTAACGGGCACACAGTCAAAATGAAGGCATGTTGCTGGCGGGATGTTGAAAGCTGTCAATCTGCACCCAAAAAAGCGGGCAGCACATGTTTTTGTTAGCGGGCTGAGAACCGCGCTAGTAGTCGTGCAGTTTTTATCAAAGCAATGCTCATGTTGTCACACGTTGCGTCAAAGTCAGAACCTTTCATTTTTACTGTAGATAGCAGTGGTTTCTCATGTTTCCTCCGTGGCAAGAGCTTATATGTTTATGTTGCCTTCTTGCATTTTTTGCTGAAATTAGCTGTGTTTCCGATTTTTACGCTACTCTTTCGGGACGGTAAGATATAGTTTTCTACATGTATTTTTTTCAGGGTGAGCTTTCATCGAGACACTGGACATTCGTACAGGGTTCCTCTTGGACCTTTGGGACTTGGGGTCCAGGGGGGGGGGGGGGGGGGGGGGAATGACGTACGGTCCGCGACGTCGAACGTTTTCGTTTATTTAATTTAACATGATACATCTTGGGTTGCTCCTGTCGCTGTCGCTGGTTCAAGTTTTTTTCTAAGAGCAGGCAGCATGGCGCACTTGTCTTGCAACCACAGCCAGGGAGAGTTTAATGTTGTCAAGAGAAGAGGGCCACAGCCGTCGCTGGATGTCAACACAGGTTCCATTGATTGGTTTTGGGCTCGCGCCAAGATGGCAATTCCCACATCCATGCACACACTCTTGTCCAATAGTCAGGTCAACCCCCAAATCTTCAAGAGTGTCCAAAGGTACTGTTGGAGGTGGGAAAACACGAGTAAAGATTTGATGCTGTGTACAGGACACACCGTTTCAAATATCCTGGGATGCTGACGGGAAAATCGTCCGAAGGCAACACTTGGCTAGACAAGTTCGAATTTGTGTTTCGCTGTAGCGAAATGACAAAATGCCTTCAAAGACCACCGAAAAAAAGTGTAAATTTCATGGCTGCGTTTGTGAGATAATGAGTATTTCGCTACAGTGAAACGCAACTTTTGCTGGAAAACCATTGGAAATGAGACGTGCAAAACTTGTTTCTACTTCGTTGAATGTGCCGAAACGCAGGTTTTGAGAGGTTTTCGAACCCTGTGGTTGAATGTTGACGACTAAAAAAAGCAAAAACGCAGGCGCAGTTGTCAGCCCGGCGGGATGTTTTTGTTGTTCCTCTGCATGCACTGCATGTGTCCTCTAGAGGCTTGCAAAAAGCCTCTGCAACTTATGAACTTGTGCACCTTTTGTCTCTGCCTTGCAAGAATCGTAGCATCCTGAGTGCTGAAGCGGGTGGCTCTGGGACTTTGAAAAGTGTTTGCTCAGTACATGGGGTGGGAGTTTTCAAGGTTCCTTTTCATCCTCCTTTCAACACGTTGCAAGAATCCCCTAGTGGTGAAGGGCCCTAGTCACACAATCTGACCACCTTGGCTTTGCAGGACGATCCAGGTTCGGTTTTTCGATCAAGTCGGTTAGTGGGGTGATTGGTTTACCCGACAACACACCAAGCACAACCCCCGAGAAGCGGGAGCCAACATGAAGGGATCCGGCAAACGTAGCAAAGTCAAAGACTCCACTGGTTTGGTCGAAGTGACGAACAGTGTTTTGTTTTTGGTCATACAGATTTTGTCCACCAGGCACCCTGCTATGGGTAGACAACTGGAATACTTGGCACATGAATTAGGTTCCCGCCAGCTGATGCATATCTTTGCATAGCCGCGGGTACCTTCCCATCATTCAAAGAAGGATCAAACATGAACATGTTCGTTCTTTGAATCAGGTGCAGCCTCGGTCCAACCACTTGGCGTCAACTTGGGGTGTCATTGGCATGTGACTTTCGCATTTCAGGTTTTTCGATGTGCTTCAAGAGGAGGTGGCGGATCGTTCTGGGCCTCAGAGCCCCAAGGGAATCCGTACACGGAACCACTCCTTCAATTCCTTCTCCAGGCGCGGGCTGGGGCAAATCAGTGCTTTTGATAGTACAGGAGATGTCTTCAGCGGTTCTTTTGCATTCACTGTCACTGTCGCGGCTTTCCGAACATGATTGATCCTAAGACCCTTACGGCCCTTACGATGGTGAGGCTTAGCACTCTCGATATAGATAGTCGAAGCGTTTCTCAAACAATCACTGAACTACTTGGTCCATACAATGGTTTCTTCCTCCTTTTTTAACATTTTGTTCAAGAAACATATGCGAGCCAAACCCAGACACAGCGAAAGCTTCTGCGACTGACCATTAAAGAATTCTACTCCCTGGAGGAACACCTCTTGTTCCTCCTTCCAAGATGCACTGAGCGAATGGGAGTTGGAAGTTCCAGCCATTGCCCCGCCGCGCAGGCGCGGGAAAACGCACGGAACATTGGGACATGCGTAGTGTTTGCCTGGAATTTGCGGGGGGTTGTAGGATGCTTTACTGATCTTTACTGATTTACTGTTTCCAGATGGGGTTAGGTTACAAGCAAGTGAAGAGGAAATGTAAGATGTTTTCAATTTCTCAATACACTATATTTCAGGAGTACAGGATGATCTCTTACGAAAAGACAGGGGATGGGATAATAGGAGAACCCCTGACATCCTGGACGGGTACAAGGGCTACTTCTTGTTTGTGTTTTATTTTTTTTTAAATTTGTACAGTGATTTCTTTCAGAGTAGATGAACTAGGCCTAAGACAACCCAGATCCCCCGCTTGGATATCGATGAATATGGATGAATATGGGTGTATATTGATTGGTTCATCTAGATATCGTACTTTTTCTTGGAGAAAAACACTCTCCCCCTCCATGGCCTGGCGGTTTTGGCCGTTCGAGGTCGAGTTTGAAGAGCAGCTGGCCTCCCAGCCACCTACGGCGGCCCTTGGAACTGCTGGGCATCAGCCTCTGCTGTGCCAGCACGGCGTTTGCTTTGCGGGCACCCTATGAGGCGAAGACCAAAAGGAGAGATGTGTAGATCTTTCGTCAAAGGAGAAAAATCCACTAGTGAGTGAGTCTACAATGATCTAGCACAATCTATGTGTTTGAAGAGTGGAAGTTGACTTTCCCTTGGAGGGGGGGTTCCTCCCGTGCATGTTGTAGCAAGTAAGACCTCAATATAGAGAACCATATGGTATGCCGTACCTGTTCTTGCTATCACTGTCTTCCAGAACAGTTTTGAATGCAGGAAACTCTAGGTGGCCTTGAATTGGATGCTCTTTGAAAATATCTTATATACATAGTGATTCTGGGCCATGTCCCTTTTTTGGTAACGTGTGTAATTAGGTAGGTTCACTTGTTCACACCTGTTCATGCGAGAGCGCTTAAGAAGAAGCGTTTCAATCCAAAAAGCTTCTTCTTGGCTCTGCAGTTCGGCCTCTCTATTTCCCTTCCAGGATCTTGCCACATCGCCCCTCAGGTCTTGTCTTCACCTCCAATCCTCCCACCGGTCTCCAGGCGACCGAGGCGCTGCCGCTGCTGCTGATGCTCTTCGCCTTCGCAGCCATCGCTGCCTCGCTGCTGGGACCCAGGCGCGGTGCCTTCGCGAAAGCCTGTGGGGTCCGAGTTTCGGGATGGGGGAGAGGTTGGGTGGAATCGAGGATTGGAACAGAGAACTCACCTGGGAAGGTTGGAAGCGAACAGATTCGCAGGTCGTGACTCCCCACCCACTTTCTTTTGCAGAATCAGGTACTGTAGAATTTTGGGACAAACCTCCTAGGGTTTCTAACCAGATTCATGTAATTCTTCCTGAACTGAACACCTACACAAGCTTTGAAAGCCCCATTTTCTTTCCAAACCAGTGGTGGCCTGTGGTCAATGTTGGTTCTCAGCAGGGGTTGACGTTACTACGCGTATAGTTAATAACTATACTGATGTTGGTTGAGATACCCAAGAATCAGACAGGCTTTGAATGGCTTTGATGTCTCGGTGAACTGCCTTTGCTTTCGATCTGGTTCCTGTTTGTATGTTCCGAAGTTGGTCCAAGTAACACCCTCAGTGACTGGCTAGTTTGTGTAATTGGGGATGCCTCTGCTTCAACTATAGTGGATACCGATGTGGCCTTGGGTCAAGCAAGAGTCAAGACCAACGGCTTGAGGTCAGGATGATCAGGATGACATTGATGTGTCCCAAGTCCTCTTCCGAAAAAGAATGCAAACCCACACACTTAGATTGATGCTCGCAAGAGCTAAATCAGTTGGTGAAGTTCCACTTTACTGCAGGTAGACCTTGACACGCAGTTAGATCCGCATCAACAGTATGGTTTAACATGGGTGAGACAGGAGAAACGCATTAGCACTTTACTGGTGAATGGAAAACGAGTGGAGTTAAAATTGCAGGTACACAGGAGTGATCAGCTCCCGCTTCCTAGGACCAGTGCAAAGAGCTTCGTTGGGCAGAGCCTTGCACGTCCTCTCTGCCCCCCTGCCTAGTGAGTTGAAAAGTACTAGGAAAAACGCATTAGCGTGCACTGGTTGGTGTCCTTCGGTACAGGCGTGGACACACACACACATGACATTGGTTTTCATTTAGCTCAGTTCCCAAGCTGAGAAGGAAGGTGAGGGAACGGAAAGGTGCATGAGTCCGCAAAGCAGTATTGTTTAACAAGGTTTCACAACGAGCGCAAGTGGAAGCGGCGGTCAGCAGCTGCAATGCGGAGGGAAACCTGTTTGTGGGGAAGGTATCGTGCGAAACCACCATGAATCAAATCGAAAGTGGAAAAGCTTGAGCAACAGTTTCCGGTGCAGGTACGTCGGCAAGCGTCCTTGCCGATGTCCTAGGATCATGTGAGGAGCTTCGTTGGATGGAGCCTCACATGTCCTCTCCATCCCCCTGCTGTGTGGCGTGAAAGTGGAGAAAAGAACCCTTCGGCACAGGGGTTGACACACACTCTGACATTGGTTTTCAGTGACTCAGTTACCACGTTGGGAAAAATGGTGAGGGAACGGCAAGGCGCATGAGTCGGCCAAAAACAGTATTGTTTAAAAATGCTTCCACAGGTGCAAGTCTGCAGTTGGCGGCTGGCTGCAATTCACGATCGGCTAAGAAGTGCAGTGGAAAAACCTGTTGTTTGTGGGAAAGTAGCATGAAGAAGGACCATGAAAACAACGAACAGCGGCAGGGTGGACCAGCGGAGTCAATGTGTTGAAAGCAGGTACGTCAGTTCCGCGTCCGGAACTGATATCCTCACCATGTATTGCCAGCTTCGTTGATGGAGAAGCAATACAGGTGTCTCCATCCCCTGCTTGGGAGTCGGTGGTGAAGGTTGAGAACCCTTTGTCCAGGGGTGGACACACACAAATCGCCGGCTTCGGCGCTTTTTCCAAAGAACGGTGGCACACATACGGTGCCGCTTCGCGGCGCGCATGTGAAAAACCTAAATAGTCACCTAAAAAGCCTTAGAAACAAAAGGAAAGAAAGACAGAAAGAGCAGCGCTAAGAGGGGAAGAAAGAAAGATAGGTGTAGGAAAAATGATTACTTAGCCCTTGACTGGGGTAGGGAAACGAGCCTCAAGAACAACCTAAAAAGCCTGAGAGAAAGCCCAAGAAACGACCGAAGGCGTAAGAAGAAAAGCGGGGGGCAGGGAAGTGTATGTACATGTGTGTGTCCGTGTGTGTGTGTGTATGAATACTTAGCCCTCTAGAATTACTGATTACTTAGCAGAAATGAATTGCGTGCAATAGCTAGGGAGCGGGACTTTAGTCTTAGACCGCCCGGGTAGGAAAGACTAGAAAAGGAACAACACAGGGAAAGGCACCGACACACAAGTGTGTGGAGTACCATTTCCCTATGTTGCCCTAAAGAGGTAGGGAGTAGAACTCAGCGGGGGGGGGGGGTGGGGAACCCGGCCCCTTTGGGGGGGGGGCCCGCACCGGTATATAGCCCGGCGGCTGTCTAGGTAATCCCGTTTTTGGGCCCGGCGGCCAATGCATCAGTTGATTCTATGGATGTGTCAATGACTTCCAGTGGAAATCCTGTGAAAGGTGGCAAGTTGGGGTGGATGATTTCCTATGCAAAAACGGCGCCCCTGTGACGGGGATCACACTCAGCACCCGAGTGGGACGGCTGAGCGAAACACACTCTGACATTGGTTTTCAGTGACTCAGTTACCACGTTGGGAAAAATGGTGAGGGAACGGCAAGGCGCATGAGTCGGCCAAAAACAGTATTGTTTAAAAATGTTTCCACAGGTGCAAGTCTGCAGTTGGCGGCTGGCTGCAATTCACGATCGGCTAAGAAGTGCAGTGGAAAAACCTGTTGTTTGGGGGAAAGTAGCATGAAGAAGGACCATGAAAACAACGAACAGCGGCAGGGTGGACCAGTGGAGTCAATGTGTTGAAAGCAGGTACGTCAGTTCCGCGTCCGGAACTGATATCCTCACCATGTATTGCCAGCTTCGTTGATGGAGAAGCAATACAGGTGTCTCCATCCCCTGCTTGGGAGTCGGTGGTGAAGGTTGAGAACCCTTTGTCCAGGGGTGGACACACACACACCACACACTCTGACACTTGTATTCAGTGAACTCAGTTACCACGCTGGGAAGGAAGGTGAGGGAAACGTAAGGTGAAAAAGTCAGCGCAACTGAAATGTTTAACAATCTGTTCACTCATCTGCAGAAGCGCGGCTGAACGTCGGCGGCTG